CAAATGGGCTCTTGTTAGTGGAAGACCTCTTGTTGGAATTGAAGCAGAGTTGAGCAACGTCCAACAATGAGGGCCAGTCCTTTTGGTTGGCTTGGATAAAGTGCCTCAAATATTCCTCCAACAATCCATTGAAACGTTCCATTTGGCCATCGGTCTGAGGATGGTAGCTCGAAGAGATGTTGAGTTGGGACCCCAAAATCTTGAAAAGTTCCCTCCAAAAGGACCCCGTGAATCTCGGATCTCTATCACTGACGATGTTTTGAGGGAGGCCTCAATATTTGACCACATGTTTGAACAATAGTCGAGCTGTATCTTCTGCTGTATAATACTTGTGAGCGGGGATGAATGTGGCATACTTGGAGAACCGATCAATTACCACCAAGATAGTTCCAAGATCCCCAACCTTGGGTAGGCTCGAAATGAAATCGAGGGAGATGCTTTCCCACGATTTGGTGGGTACCGATAATGGTTTCAGCATGCTCGCAGGTTTCCTCTTTTTGACTTTGTCTTATTGGCAAATAAGGCAAGTCTTCGTGTAGTCCATCACATCTTGTCGCATGTGGGGCCAATAGTATCCTTGTTTCAGTAACGCTAAAGTGCGTTGCCAGCCTGGGTGTCCCGCCCATGGGGTGTTATGGCATTCCCTCGTTAGCATCTGTCTCAGCCAGAAGTATTTGGATTTCCCTTCTTCCACTAGCTTCAAGATGGCACAGGCTTGCGGGTCCTTCCCTAAATGATCTCCAATCAACTTATGAATATCCGTAGTGGCTCTACTGGTTGTCATTGGGGCCATTCTTCTGAGGGCCGCCAACTCTGGTCGCCTGCTCAATGCATCCGCCACTTGATTGGTCTTTCCAGCGGTATGCTCAAGGTGAAAGTCAAACTCCGCTAAGAATTCCTGCCACCTAGCTTGTTTTGCCGTAAGCCTTGGTTGGGTGAGAAAGTGGCTAACGGTTACGTTGTCCGTCTTCATGACAAAGTGTGAACCCAACAAGTAATGTCGCCAAGCCCTCAAGCAATGAACCAACTTCAGGAGCTCTTTTTCCTGGGCCGTATATTTCCTCTCTGCTTCGCTTAGCTTCCTACTTTCAAATGCTATCGGGTGATGTTGTTGTAAAAGCACACCTCCAATAGCAAAATTCGATGCATCCGTCTGAACTTCAAAAAGCTTTTCAATATCGGAGAGAGCTAAGATGGGATCTTTCATAATAGCATCTTTCAATCTCTCAAAGGCCTCTTGGCACTCGTTGGTCCAACACCATTTATGCTCCTTCTTCAGTAACTCCGTGAGGGCCGTGGTCTTGTGAGATTACCCTTCCACAAACCTTCTATAATAGTTGGCTAGTCCCAAAAATGAACGGAGTTCACTAACATTCTTTGGTGTAGTCCACTCTTTAATGGCCCTAACCTTTTCCATGTCCATTCGAATGTGGCCACGTTCGACAATGTGACCAAGAAAGTGGATTTGGGTCTGAGCAAATGCACATTTCTCTTTTTTTACATATAACTGATGGTCCTGCAGCCTTTCAAAAACCCAGCGTAGGTGTTCTTGATGTTCTTCCAAGGTGGAGCTGTACACCACTATATCGTCTAAATAAATGACTACAAATTTATCAAGGTAGTCATGGAACACCTGATTCATCAATGTACAAAATGTGGCAGGAGCATTGGTTAGTCCAAAGGGCATAACAAGAAATTCAAATGCGCCATACCGTGTTACACAAGTGGTCTTTGGCTCATCTCCCTCAACGATTCTGACCTGATGGTATCCAGATCTCAGGTCCAGTTTGGAGAAATACTTGGCCCGGCTCAATTGATCAAATAAGTCGGCTGTAAGCGGGATAGGATATTTGTTTCTTACGGTGACTTTGTTCAGGGCTCTGTAGTCAACACATAAGCGCAAACTCCCATCATGGTTCTTCTGGAATAGCACTGGCGCTCCGAAAGGAGCCTTTGATGGTCGGATGAACCCGGCTTGTAGAAGCTCATCTAACTGTTTTCTCAGCTCGACCAACTCTGGCGGGGCCATGCGATAGGGAGCTCTAGCAGGGGGTTTTGCTTCTGGAAGGAGCTCAATTTCGTGGTCCACTGTTCGTCGAAGGGGTAGAACCTTAGGCAACATCTCTGGCATCACCTCTCTGAATTCTTCCAACACTTTCTTTACGCCATCGAGTATTGGTTCTACTTTCGACCCTTCTTTGTAGATCGGCATGGCCACAAACGAGGGTTCCCCTCTCTTTACCCCTTTCTTGAATTGCAAAGCCGAAATCATTTTCTTCCCACTCTTTGGCAAGATATTGGCTGGCACCACACATGGGTGTTCTCCTAAGAACAACAAGCAGCTAGCAGCGGGGATAGGGATCGCCTGAGCCAACGTCATGAAGTCCAATCCGAGAACGACATCAAAGTCATCCATAGGGGAGACTGTGAAGTCTACCTTCCCTTCCCATGGCCCCAATTGGGTTGTCACACTTTTCGAGCTTCCACTGATCGCAAAGGCTGGCGAATTGATCACCTTCATTCGCCCACAATCTTTACTAATCTGAAGACCACATCTTTTTGCTTCTTCTGGTGTGATGAAACTGTCGGTTGCACCCGTATCCACCATGGCCTTGGTGGCTTTCCCATTGATCGTCAAGTTCACATACATCAAGCCTCTACTTTGCTCTTTCTTTATAGTGTTCAATTGGGTGCGGAGGGCACTGAGGAACCTTATTGAGCCCATCTTGGCTGGCTCCTTTTCAGCTTCTTCAACGCTCTCTGGAGCTTTTGCGGACTCTTGGGATGAGGTCCTTAAGGCATTAAGGGCTCCTCGGTACGGGCATTCAGCCACTCAATGCGGCCCCTTGCAAAGAAAGCAAGCTAGCAATTGTCTGGGCCTGAAAATCCCTGCGTTGTTTGTCTTGGGCTGGGTGCTATCTCGCCCAAAAGACCTCCTGTCTGATCCCCCACTGAAGGGTTGGTCCAACCTAGTCATCTTTCCCCCACTCCCAAGGTTAAAGCTACTACCAATTGATGGAGGATTTTTCCGTTTTAAGGAGCCATCATTGTAATCATGAAGGCGTTCCGCTGCAGCCATGGCCGTGGCCACATCTTGCACTTTCTGCCTTTGTAGCTCTGTCCTCGCCCACGGCTTGAGGCCCTCAAGAAAATAGAACATCTTGTCCTTTTCGGACATGTCTCGAATATCTAGCATCAGGGTAAAAAAGTTCCTTACGAACTCTCACACCGTTCCGGTTTGCACCAACTCTCGAAGTCTCTTTCGAGCCATATACTTCATATTCTCCGAAAAAAATTGGTTTTTCAGCTCTCGCTTCAGATCCTTCCAAGTCTTAATCAGGCACTCGTCATCGACAAACTTGGAGCGCCACCACAACTTGGCATCCCCTGCGAGGTACATCGATGCCATTGTCACCTTGTCTTCCTCTGAACTTGTGTGTACAGCTCGGAAGTATTGTTCCATGTCAAACAAGAAGTTCTCAAGTTCCTTAGCATCCCTTGCCCCCTCATAGCATCGAGGTTCCGGCACCTTGGGCTTTTGTCCCCTATCCATCGAGCTCGAACCGATCTGGCCACAGCCATTTGTAGGATGCTCACCTGGGCCCTGAGCTCCTCAAACTCCTTTTGGAGAATGTTCAAGGCATCTCTAGCCTCTTCGCTCACATTGTGGAGAGTATCGGATAACTCCCGCTGGGTTGTCTCGATCTCCCTCACTCGATCTTTTGTCACCATATGAGTTTTCATTGCGGCCACCGCGGCCTCTAGTTCCTCAATTCTCTGCTGATGATCCGGTCCACCACTTGTGGCCATCTCATCCATTTCTCTAGCACTTCTCAACCGTGCTCTGATACCACGTGTCACGGACTAAGCTTTCTCTCAACAAGCACTAGCCCGTGTGGCACTTGAATGGACGCTTTCACCCAAGTCAGCCTTCAATAGATCGAGATCTGAACAAATAACCATAAACCATGGTTAGTCTCAAGCATTCACAATAAGGCACAATATATCGAGGTCAATCTCAAGCATACACATAACAAGGCATATTCACATCGAGAAAGAAAGAAACACATCGAGGCAACAATCGGGCATTCAATCGGGAAATTATATTATAAATGGGAATCATACATCGGGACCTCCCACCATCACCAGGGCCAGGGGGGCAGCCCTTCGTGGGTGGCCTAAGCTCGCATAGCACCCGGTGAGACAACCCAACACTACGCTGCCGGTTCACCCCCCCTAAAGAGCCTTAGAACTTTTAGAGCTATGCTACCAGTAACCGTTACAATGTTTGAAATGGGGACACTTTTCCTAGCACAAGGGATCTATCCGGCCATGACCCTATATATGGGTGGCTCATGGCAACCTAAGTCCCGGTCATGGCCCTATACAAGGGTGGCTCATGACACAAAGCATGTGCTCAAACAGACCAAATGGGATATGGCCAGCAATAATAGAGTAACTATTTATAGCAAGGCCAGAAGGGGATAACAACTAAGTAAAAAGAATTACATATGGTAGTTTTATTAGCCCTTTGCATAGGGAAAGTAAATACCAAAAAAGAAAGTAAAAATGACGGTAAACTTATTCCAAAATGAAAAATATAATGATGAAATGAAATTATCCAATTGAAAATTATTGATAAATTTGATTCGCTCACATAAAGAAAATAATAAACTTGCGGCTTATTGAAATAGTAATTATTTGTAGTATGACCATGTGGGCCTATTCTTTGGAGAGTAGTTAAGGCTTTAGTCCATTTGCACCAGCAAGCCTGTCTTCAGCTAAGCTCTTCAAAGCTTTGTATGGTTCATAATGACTCTGCTTACTTTTCCTGTTACCTCTCTTTTCACCCGTAGTGGAGGAAGGAAATTCGCCAATATTAACTGTTGAAGATGACAAGGTAAATAGTACTAGTCAAACAAGGAAGGATATTTCGTTTTCCTATGACTGTAAGACAATCAATTCTGAATATGCAGAAGGAAACTGAATTGAATGCTAAGGAACACAACCTTAAAAGTAGGGACAATGAAAATTTTATTGAATGAGTGACAATAACTTAAAATCCGAAGAATACATGGGCTATAAGCTGCAGGATAGCTGAAGATATGCTAAATCCATTGGCAAAGCTCCTTATCATAATTGCCAAAATATAATCTAACAAACAAGATTGTAAAATAATTCTGGACCATGTCACCCTTGGGAATGCAGAGATCGCTTCTGATTCTTACTTTGACAGTCCTCCATTGAAGCTTTTCATGTTGGGTTGGAAGACGTATTTTATAAGTGAGTCCTTGATAGAGAGTATCTCAGGGAACTCCTCCTTCAGCTTAGATGCATCCAATTCATTGTTGCTCCTGGGTGCAACAATGACCTTGGCCTGTTCTTCCAAGGTGAAATTAACCCAATTGAAATTTGGGTCAATGTAGTCCTTGTACATTTGCAGAATCTCATTGTGACTCACAACACCAGGATTTGTAAAGTTCCATATTCCCCTCAAGTTCCTTTTGGCCATCTCAACTGAAATTGGTAGAAGCTCATCCAATATGGTCATGCTGTTGGGAATGTCAACCACCTTGTTATATCGAGTAATCTTTGTGATAAAGTTCCGTGGATTGCTGAGATCCGATGATATAGGCATCCGGACTCTGAGAGTGCAAACATTGTCAAATTCTCTCAGAAGCTCTTCAACCTGCCATAAGAAGGCGGAAAATATCAGAATTCAGTTTGCAGCTAAATAAAAAAATTTTAAAAATGTCAATGGGAGTAGATTAAGACACCATGGCTTTGGTTTTGGAATAGAAAGAACCAGTGAAATTGGGCTTGTCTTCCTCCTTGAACCCGATCCCTGTTCCTAGAGGGTGTGTAGCATCATACTCAAAGATACAACCAGTGGCATAATTAATCATAAGAAGGTCATGTTCCCTGCAGATATCTGCCAAGGTTAATGTGCCAACAACATTGGTTCTAATTGTTTCAGGCTTATGAGTTTCACACCAATCCACATTTGGTCTACCCGTCACTCCGGCTGCATTGAAAACATGGGTTGGCTTAATGGTTTGGATATCAGTCAAAAGCTGTGAACGTTGCTCCAGACGCCCTTTTCCATACTCAAAGGGTATGCCTTGTTTCTCACATATCTTCCCTAGAAGTCCTCCTATCCAACCTGTTCTGCCATAAATCAAAAACTTAAGGGATGGCTTTTGAGAAGGTAAATTGTTCTTTGGAGCTGGAACCAGCATCCTGCTCTGACTGAATTTGTTTGTCACAGAAGTAGAATCAGAACTGCACGTGTCAGGGGCATTAAATTGCCTTTCAATTCCAGGCACCATCAGCATCCTTGGATGGGGTAACAGTGCTCCTGAAACATCACCCCACCAATCAGGATTGCTAACATACCATTCCATAGTCTTCTTGAGACCTTCCTCCCATGTGATCTTTTCAGACCATCCCAAGCTCTTTAGCTTTTGATCATCCAAGAAATATCTCTGGTCATTGAAAGGACGATTGTCCACAAACTTAATCTGGGTGTCTGGGTCCAAGTTAAAAAGCCTGCAAATATCCCTGGCTACATCAATCACTCTTCTTTCTTTCTTTGTGCCTATGTTGTAGACATGGCCTACTTCACCTCTGTGTAGAATGACTTCAAAGGCCTCTGCAACATCCTCGCAATAGAGATAACTCCTTACATTCGATCCATCCCCATGAATGGGAAGAGGCTTTCCATTCATGGCCAATAGAATAAATTTGGGAATCAGCTTTTCTGGGAATTGATTGGCCCCATAAACATTGTTTCCTCTAGTGGTTATCACAGGCAGCCCATATGAGCGCCCATATGCCATCACCAGCATCTCTGCTCCAGCTTTAGTGGCAGAATATGGGTTTGTTGGAAGGAGCTGAGAAGCCTCGTGATTTCCCACCACAGCATCTTCATCCGTCTCCCCGTAAACCTCATCCGTGCTTACATGGATGAACCTCTTTATCTGGCCAGTGACTTTACAGGCTTCTAGGAGAACATGGGTTCCATAAATGTTGTTTTTGGTGAACTCAAAACTGTTCCCAAAGGAGTTGTCAACATGAGTCTGGGCTGCAAAGTGCATGATTGTATCGATAGACTCAGTCTGAAGAATAAAGTGAACTAGATCAGCGCTTGCAATGTCTCCCTTGATGAACTTAAAGTTGGGAGATGATCGTGAGGGGTTGAGGTTCTTCAGGCTTGAGCAGTAATCAAGCTTGTCAAGGACTATAATTTTGTAGTCTGGATAATTACGGATGAGTCTGTTGCAGACATGGGATGCGATGAAGCCAGCAGCTCCAGTGATGAGGATGTTCTTTGGTGTGTATCGATTAGCCATCTAAAGTAGTTTATACATTACACGCCAAACAACATAAAGCAAAAGAAACATCAGTATTGTATTAGCAAATAGCATATCAAGTTCGAAATCAAAGATCTTAGACTCAAAACAGCTTGCCTTGATGAAACGTAATTTAGATGAAAACTGAACATCACCAAAAACACAATATGAACTCTGGTAAGATAAAACGTTGTTTACCCACCAAAACTCTGTATGAGACAGGCAGTTGACCCAGCAGATATATATAATGGACAAACTCAATTATAGGAAACATAGATTTTCTCTGTGCATTGTTCTTTGAATAAAATAAATAAATGAAAAAATCAATCGCAACGACAAAGAATTGAATGTTGGATGGTGGTAAGCACTCTCAAAGTTTACACAAAGAAGAAAAGGGAAGAGGAAGCCACTTATGTTTATAATGTGGTAGTACTGGGTTTCAATTGGCTTGCCTAACCTTGGTATTTATATTTCTCAAAATGATTTTAGACTCAAGATATTAAACACAAATAACTCTTGAAATTAGGTACATTCAACTTTCAACTACATGCATTCATCTACTTAACTATGTTTATGCTAATTAGATTCAAGAATACATTGCTCTAAATTTAACATCCAACACTAAAATCTAACAGCACAAAGGGAAAAAGGAACTGTGCTTTTTGTATGGTTTCTAGGATTGAACCTTACTAAAACTAAAATACAACGCTATATCAACATATCAGACAGCTGTTGACCAAAAAAGAACTGTACGTTGTTCTAGCAACATGGTAACTAAATGGCAGATCTGTCGAAAGGCTGTCTAACTCCAACAAGATCTCAACCAAAAAAACCAACTAGTAAACGATAATCCATGTTAAAATGCTTTAAATTTTCATTTGGAGAGAAAAAAATTAAAAGAACCAGCTCAAAAATAAATAAAATTTAAGCAGAATTGTGAAGGGTGGAATAAGAAAACTTACGGAAAGTGTGGAGTTAGAAGTCCAAGGCAAAAGGGTATTCTTTTTTTTGGGCACTTCTCTGAAGCTTCAGTCAGAGAAGAGAGAACGAAGAGAAATATAGTTCCAAAAGAAAGAAGAGAGAAATATGTGAGGAGGGAATGCTAGTTGAAGTGATCTATTTATAAATATGCATGACTTTGTTTATAATATTAAAAAATATTTTTAGTTTTTAATAATTAGTAATGTTCATGGGTCCACCAAGCATAGGTAGGCAACCTATACATAATTGTCAAAGTCTAGTACAATTCAGTAATTTGGGTCTCAAATTCTATTAACATCCATTCAAATTTATAGATGATACAACTAATACTTGTCTAAACCCGTCTAGATTACATTTTTAAGAAAAAATTAAAAATATATATTATTTTATTAAATTAATATCATAAATAATTCTCAAATTATAATAAAATATTCAATATACTCTTTAAATTTTAAAAATCTTTAATAAATATTTAAATTATAAATTTATTAAAAAATAATACTCATTTTTAACATGATTAGTTTCAAATAATAGCATATATCAAATAAATAATTATTCAAATATTATATTAATTAATAAATTTATTATTGGTATCATCTTAAAAATTTTTTAAATTTAAGTATCACATTAAATATTATACCATAATTTAAGAATTATTCATGATATTAATTCTATTTTATTTAATCTTTAATAATTTTACTCATTGATTAAGTTTTAAAACATAAATAATTTATTGATTAATTTGTTTATTTAATTATTAAGTGATTTATTATACATAAATGTAATACTTTATTATAATTATAATTTACACTTATAATTTTAAAAAAATGAATAACTTAACAAAATTTTTAATGTTTATAATTTAATATTATATATTTATATTTAATATGATATATATTATATAATATAAAAATATAAACATAATTTATCTTATATAATTTAAAAAAAGGATAAAATTGAATTGGACTTAAGTTTTCAAAGTTGGAATTAAAATCTGATCCATTTTAAATCAATCTTTTTTTTTTTTTAACTTATTTTTCATTTAGGCCTATAACCTGTTATTGAACATGTTTATTTCTTATTATAGTACTATTTTCATTTTTTTTGTTTTAATTAAAAAAAAAAGTTTAATAATGAAAAAGACATACTACATCGAACATGTTACTCGTTTCTTAGAACTTTTATTCGACATTCCATCTCTTAAAAAAGAAACTTTTATTTTATATATATATCATATGGTGTAACTCAAACACATCATTTACCAGACAATCGCGTTCGCGTGCCATCAACATTTTCCCCATTTTTTCCCTTTCTTTTTCATTAGATTTAGACTATTTTAATTTTTGTATATTACTACTACATTCATTTAATGTAATTTTATAGCATTTAATAATATGAAAGCAACTTAATTGAAGCGAACAGATTAGAAGAATAACAGAGGAAATTGTGATATTTTATATATTTTCTAGTACTTATTAATAAATTTATTATTATTTATATGGATCAACATTAAAATTATCATTGCATTATGATTTAATATAAAATTTGTCATTATAATTCAATTTTATTATTTTTTGTTTTTAGATAAAAATATTAGTGAAAGAAAATTTCAATAAATATTAGATTTACAAATTTTAAATAAGTTTTGGAGAAAGCTATGACCTTGAATTTCATACTAAATAAAAATGTACAATCAAATACTAAATATCATGTTTTAGAAGTGAAAGAAAATAATTAGTTTAAATTTGGATTTGATCTCAATTATTTATAGTTTGTCTGTTATATTTAAAATTTAACGCAAATATTCAGAATTAACTTATAAAAAATATTTATTGAACACAACGTGTAAAGCGAGATGCTAAAAAAGCTGCTCTTTGGGTTGCGAAGCAGTATACCACGGAGATGTGCCCGGCAGGATGGGTTAATAGGCCTCCATCTTCTTTGCTGCACTTACTAATTAGCGATGGGCTTCCCGCACCATCTGGTGTGTAAGGCTTACCGTTAAAAATGATGTAATTAAACTGGTAGGCAGTTTGAGTAGCTGATACTTTCTCTGTATGATTTGTAGTGAAGAAAGACATATTGTAAACAGTTCTGAGGAAATATAGTCATGATTTTATTGGCCCCTAAAAGGAACGTAACATTTAATGTTTATTCATAATTGACTCTTTGGCTGTCAAAAAGTTTGGCCAGGTAGGGGACTTTCTTTGATTGTATTATAGTTGTGAGAGCAATTGATAAAAATTTTAAAAAATTTTAAAATTAGAGAAATTGTCATCAAAATTTTTTATTGAGTGTGATTAATTGTTTAAAAAATTTTATTTTTTATAAAATTTTAAAAATAATTAAAATTTATTAATAAATAATTTTTTGTTTAATCTATAAAAATAAATTTTGATTCCAAAATATAGTTACGTGAAAGAAGAATTAGTATCCCACAACGTTTGTTTTAAAAATAATATCAATTAATTATATGTTATTTTTTAATATAAATAAAATATATCTTAATTTTAATATTTAAAATAATTTTTTTAATTTCATTAACTTTTGCAAAATCTTTTTTTTAAACCATTTTATTTAGAAATAAAAGTCTTTAGTTTTGAACTATTTCTTAAATTCTTCAATATTTAAATGAAATTTCAAAGACTATTAACTCTCATAATAATATTCAAAATTTGGTATAATATTTTTTTATAATAAAAGTTGTTGGGAAACCTCCAACATTTAGGTAGGATCTCATGAATTATTTTAACTTAAAAGTATTAACATTTATTAAAAATAATTTTTTAAAACCATTATTTATTAATTTATATTTTTGACAATAATAAAATGCAAGTAATGTCATATGAAGTAATGGATGCTGCAAATACAAACTAAAGCATGCCAATGACTAATTTAATTCCACTTAACTTTATTTTTTTATTTTTACATTTATTTTTTAAAAAATTATTGATAAAAAATTTTTATTTGTCATTATTTTTTGTGTTGGAAAAATCTCTTTTATTTTTTAATATCTAAGCAGAATTTAAGAAAATTAATCCTTCACTTAAGAAATTCTCATATTAATTTTTAGTAGGAATGAAAATGAAGTTCTTAAGTAAAAGCATGATTTGAAATTTCTTCAATATTTAGGCAAAGTTTCCAAAATTATTTTTTGAAATATTATTCTATTTTTTCTAAAGGAATTTTTTTTTTTTTAAATTGTTACCTTATTACTTCACATTTATTATTAATATATGAAAATGCATATATGATAGTATGAATATAAATTAAATAATACATGTAATTATATTTCTTTTCTAAATAGACTTTATTTAGGATAAAAATGATATTTTTGGTTCTATAAATATTTTTGTTTTTATTTTATTATTTTTTTAACTCCTCAATATTTAGACAAAATTAAAAATATTGATCTTTGACTTAAGAGATTTACATGATTTTTTTTTTTTGAAAAAAACTAAGATAATATTCTTTCACAAAAAAAAAAAATTTATTTGAATTCCTTATGATATTTAAGTAGGGTCTTCAAAAAAAAAATTTCACTTAAAGATATCATCTTATATTCTTATTTCTAAAATCTTCCATTTTAAAAAACTAATTTTGAAATCACAAAATGATTTCAATTCATTTTTTAATTAATTTACACAAGTTTTTTTAACAGTCTCATTCATTCACTAAAAAAATTACTTTCAAGACTAAAATTGCAAATGGGAATAGACAAATAGATGATAAATAAACTAATAAACAAAGACTAATAAAATTAAAATATATCTCACTAGGGTTTCAATCTAAAACCAAGAAATCAATTGCCCAATTTGGAATGGGTTACAAATCAATTGGGTTGGACTTGATGGATCTGGGTTAGAAGTTAAGTCAGAGTAGGTCGCAGGTCAATGGGCCTAGGTCAAGTCAGGTGAACTGGCCTGTTCTTCTTCCTCATTTTTTTTTTCACATTATTATAGATATCTAATTTTATCTTGGTAAAATTTGGTCATTTGTGAATTTCTTAAAATTTAACCTGATTCAAATCCAACATTGCTTTAATATTGGCAAGTTTTTAAAATCAAAATTAGAACAATTTTGAGCCAAATGCCCCAAGGTCAAACTTGATCAAATAAAGTTAAAATTGATCAAAATCGGTTAAAATAGATAGAACTCAGGTGAACTTTTAAAATTTACAACCAATTGGAATCAATATGATTTTAAATTGAAATTTATGATTTTTAAAAAGAAAAAAAAGCATAAAAAAGTTTGATTGTATTTCAAAAAGTATAAAATTATCAAAATGCCCTTAAAAGTATTTTTATAATTTAGCCTTTTTGAAATTGAATTTTTTTGAATACTTTCAAATCATAATTGAATATTTCTTAATGATTCTGGATGTATTAAAAGCCTAGATCACGCTTTGGAAAATGTGAAATTACAAAAATATTATTTAGAGATATTTTTGTAATTTGATCTTTTTGAGATCGAAAATTCACAAAAAGCTTCAGATCATGATTTGATATTATTTGATAATTTTTAAAATTTAAAAATCATGATTGTACCTTGAAATGTGTGAAATTACAAAACTACTCCTTATGGGTAATTTTGTAATTTAACCTTCCTATTGTCGTTTTTTTGCAAAATTTCATATCATGTTTTTATAACATTTGATGATTTTTGGTGCATTTAAAACCTTGGCAGCACTTAGAGAAGTGTGAAATTCCAAAATACCCTTTAAGGGTAATTTCATAATTTGACCTTTTTAATGTCGGATTTTTATGAAAATTTTCAGATCTTAGTTTCATATTAGTTGAGGATTTTTAGTTCTTTAAAATCATAAAAATGAAAATGAGAACATTATCTTCTAAAAAAATAACCTAAAAACTGAAAACTTTGTAATACGAGTAACATAATATTTTCATTTGGCTCCAATAGCATTAAAAATCTCATCTTTGACAATGTGCATTCTTAACCGTAGGATGATATTGGGAAGCTTGATCCAATGGTGAAAGCTTGCTCCTTGCAAAAAAAACAAGGGAGCAACTTATACCATTAGATATATTTTTTATCTAAGGGCTAAAATTCAATTGTTTGGAAAACTTCCATCTATTTCTTGGGT